TTTTCCAAGCAGGTTTGGGAAGGTAGTGCTTGATAGTTCGAGCCTCGGCAATGGGCGATATACCGGTGGGCCGAGGCTCGGGCTTGATAGTTGGGCCAAGCACTGATGGTTTAAGCAAGCAGGTGAGTGTATCTCATCCTGTTTTACAAAGAAAGCTTCATCTATTGGTGGGGAGCAACACCTGTTGGAAATTGGGTCCAGCGTCATCCCATCTTCCTTCTATTGAGAAAATTCTCAATGAGTCTAAGGAGTTGCAAATTGAACCAACGGGAATCATTGAGCGTGCTATGAAGTACACCATTGAGATCATTCTTTGTAGTAAGATTCCCAAGGATCTCATTTATCGCATGTCTCCTCGGAAATTTGAGGAACTTAAGCAGAATCTGTAAAAACTCTTTGAGAAAGGATGCATTCGACCTAATCCATTTCCTGATGGTGCTTCTCTCTTATTCGTGCCTAAAAAGGAAGGTGAACTTAGACTATGTATTAACTATCGTGGGTTGAATGTCGTCACTCTCAAGAATGTGGAACCCACTTCTGCGCCTTGATGACCTGTTGGACTAAGCTACATGGATGAAGGTACCTTAGTAAGATTGATCTCAAGTCGGAGTACCACCAGACCGAGGTGGCTCTTGAAGATCCAAACAAGACAACTTTTCGAACTATGTATGGTCATTACGAGTTTGCGGTTTTGCCCTTCGGATTGAGTAACGCCCTTGCAACCTTTCAAAGGTTCATAAATGAGTTGTTCCGCCGATAGTTTTGAAAACGAAAACGAGAAGGAATCTTCTGCTTGAACATGCAAAAATACACCAACTTGATTATTTCATTTTGTGCATGTCGAGGAGTTAGTAATTGTTTTTTTTTTTTTTTTTCATGTTTTGTAGAGGAAATATTTTTCTTTGTCGTTGTTTTTTGCATTTTGTGTTTTGTTGTTTTTTTTATGTTTTTATTCCGTATTCTTCTCCAAGCAGGTTTGGGAAGTTGGAAGTTAGTACCCGGTAGTTCGAGTCTCGGCAAGGCTCGCCATACCAGTCGGCCGAGGCTCGGACTGATTGTTGGGCCAAGTATTGGTGATTTAAGCAAGCACATGAATGTTTTTCGTCCTATCCTCCTTTCGATAAAATTCTCAACGAGTAAAAAAAGTTGCAAATTGAACCAACGGGAATTACCGAGGTTGCAATCAAGCACACTATTGAGATTGGTAGTAAGATTTCCAAGGGTGCCATCTATCGCAGATCATTGAGATCATTATTGATAGTAAGATTCTCAAGGGTCCAATCTATCGCATGTGTCCTCGGAGT